ATCCTGCAGCTTCGTCAGAGGCTCGAACAGATCGGGGAGCTTCAGAAATAAGTAGATACAATACATGCCGAGGCTGAAGAGTTCAAAAAGAATATGGACATCTTAGTCTCGAAAAAGGAAACCGTCCAAACACAACTGGAGTCGGCCAAGACCCAGCTCCAAGCTACTAAAGAGAAGGTCTCGGTGCAGGTCGAGAAAATCAAAGAGCTTCAATCTCGACTAGACTTGGCTGTTTTTGATAAGGCAAACTTGGCTAGCGAACTCGAAGTGGCCAGATCTGAGGTGGCCGTGGCCAACACCAAAGCTGATACCAAAGTGGCCCAATTTAAGGTCTATGTCGAGGCCATCCAGGCGAAATCTAAGAGCATGGTGGATCATGCAAAATGGCAAGCTCGAAGGGAGGCCCTTGGGGGAGTTCATCCTCAGGGCTTTGATGTGATGGCCAAAATCGAGAACACCAAAGCAAAGGAAAACAGGGCCCGAAAGCTGGCCTTTCCTGAGGAAGACTCCGACGGCTTAAGCGAAATCGAAGATGGGGAAGATTCTGAGGATGGATATATTACCCCTGATGAAGACCAAGCCACTTAGGCCTTTACATTTTTGCTTTATAAATTTGTGTTAGGCCAATCTGGCTTTTGTAAAAATTATTATATATATATAAGGCTTTTCTTCCCCTTTCGGCTCTCAAATTTTTTCCTTTGCTTTTTTACTTGTATTCACAAAGGTCAAAATGCCGTAGCGTAAAACAACGAGGTTGTTTTTGAGGGTTTGATGTTACCGAAGATTTTTTCCCCGAAAATATCTTAAGTTTATGGCTTTGCCGAGGGTAGCCTTTAGAACCGGTTGTGAAAATTTTTTCCTTTTTCGAAGACCTATTTTTTGTTACGGGTTTCGGACGTCTCTGAGCCATGTTCAATTGGTCGTAGCCTTTTAGTTCGTGAACTGCCCATTGGGCTTATTTTCCCGAGTCATCCGGGCTTGCCCGAGATAACAGTCCCCGAGTGGGGTGGCCGTGGCCTTTAGAAACCGGGGGGTTGCCTAATAGGTCTTTTGCCCCTGAGGCCTGATGACTTGGGCTATTTGAGTTGGATGGCAGTCCCCGAGTTAGGGGGTGGCCGTTCGCATTCTGGTTATGTATTGCCCTTAGGCTTGTTATTTTCGAAAGTACAAATCTCTTTAAGGGGATGTAAAGAGGAAAAAATTTTAAAACATAAGATGATTGCAAGGAAAGTACTTCTCTTTAATCTCGATTGAAACAATCATACATGCGTACATGTTTTATGCCGGGGCTCGAGCAATCTACATGGGCACGGTTCATTTTGATCGTTTGGCACTTACAATAAACCATGTTACATCTCGCGTTTTCGTACGTTAAAGTTTCGTCGTAATTTAATCGACGTAGACTCGGGGATGAGATTATTTTTGAGGTTATAAGCATTTATGCTATTTATAACATGCGATAAGTAAGTGCCGTGAAGGTTAAAGGGTAAACGAATCAAAGAAAATGAGTTTCGTTGAAGGCTGTCAATTTGGGATAAAATACGGTCCGAG